AATTATTGTTCAAACATATTCTAAGCTCAAATTAAATATGAGAAAATGTTGACAATGGATAATTTCCAACACTTAAATGCAGTTGTTACTGGTGAGCGACTCAGGGCCATGATGGCCCTCTTGTTTGAAATCTTGACGCAATTGATGGTACATGTATTTGCCAGGTTCTTTTGAGGTTGAACAGGGCGATGTCTCCCATACAAGACCTACAAAAGATGTTTGATGACTTTAAAAAGAGTCCACTTGATCCACAGCAGAAAAAAAGGGTTCAGAAGGCCATAAACAGTTGGCAAATGTTCGAAAGGGGTAAAGAAGCTGATCTAAAACTGGCAGGGCAAGAATTTGAAAAGAGCATTGATGAAAGAAACAATAATACGTGTGAACATGATAAACAAATACAAGAATTGAAGTTTAGGGAAGAAACTAGGAAAGGTGAATCTGAAATTTCGAGATGTTTGATATTTTGTATGTGCATTATAAAACTGAACAAAGTCATATCATGAAAAGCTTTAAATACAGCGATGAATAAAAGATATTTTTTTCAAATTATTAAAAAACCAATGATTGTCTTATTTCAATCTTATCAAAAAAAATGTTTGCTTATTACCAAATGCATTCATGATATTTTCAACAATGTTATAAAACAATATTTACTTCTATTTATCATTATAATTAAGTGCTCATATAATATGTTACCTTATTTATCATTTTATAATTCAATCTGACATAATCGGATTTAATTAAATGCAGACAACATTAAATAAAACAATTTTTATGCTTATATTTGATACATGTTTGCAAGTTAAGTTTAAATGTCTTAATGTAGATGACAAAGCTGAGACAGAATCAACATATGAAGAAAGTAAAAAAGGTAAGTCTTTTAAACTTTTTCCGCAATTATTAGTATAAAATTGTAAGAATCAAACATACCCGAGGATATCGTATACAGCTAACGACGTATGTAGCTTATGGTGAGTTGAACTCATAACTTGACAATGTATACAGCATATGCTTTTTAGGTCAGTAGGTCAAAGGTCAAGTTCACTAAGGCCATAACAAAAAAAAGAAAAATCAATATCGAAATAATTTATTTCAGAAAAACCTCTAATTATTATTCTGGTCGTCGTTGTAGTCTTAGTTGTAGTTTTTTTTTAATTTGTCTTTTGACGTCTTATCTATGATATTTATGCTTCATAACCTCTGATCCCCTTTCAAACTTCCATTTTTGTTTAGTTCCGCCCATTGTTTTGTCGTTTATGGTACATTCTTTATTTTACTTGGAGACATTTCGCCGCTTTTCATGGTATGACATTTGTCACATTGAAGGTTGGTTCCATGATAACCGCCGTATGAACACATTTGCGGATGTTTCTAAATTCAAAATTCATCATATTCGTGTTTCTATTTAAGCCGGTGCTAGAGGGAGTGTACGGTAACTTGCACTTACCAGTATCGTTCATGAACAGCCTCATTCAAACCAAACAACATCTTCGATGTGTGTGATCATAAAGCCTTCACTTCTTTTGAGAAAAAAGTCTTAACATTAACATTTTTTCCAGAAGTTGAAATATATTATTTGATTATTTGATCCTCTGTTGAGAATTGTGTTTTCAGACTCAGCTGAGCACCGTCCGTTGTCAAGCGTCAACAACCGTCTTCTTCTCTAAAACTTCTGGGCAGATTTACCTCGAATTCGGTCTGTATTATCCTTGAGACAGTCACACCTAAATTTGCTCATGTCATTTTAATTTTCCCCTTTATGGGGTCAGTAGAGCTAAAAATAAAGAAACCTTTAACCTTCCACTTCTAGATTAAATGATGGATGATCACCAAACTTTGTCTGTAGCAATCTTAGCAAGCAAGCCTTTTATCAAATTTTCGCATATTAATTAATAAATAAAGAAACGGCACCAAGTCCAAGACGGGGAAGGGATGAAACAGTGAAAAAATATAAGTAGGCCTTGCTTAACATAAAACACCAGATACCTCGGGTATTTCCCGCCAGGTCTTGGTTATGGGAATAAGCACAAAACAACAGTCGTATAAATCTGTGATTGATGAGTTTCTTTTTGTTTATGTGGAATCTTTTGTTGGATTTTGTTGTTAAAGCCCATTAGTTACCAGGCTGGAATATTGTGTTTTCCAGATAATATATCAGTTACACGGTAGCAAACATGCTGAGTTCTTTGCCAACCTATCCTGGTTTAGTAATTTTGTTCTTTTACAAAATATTTTTGTTTTTCTATCTAGGGTTTAATTCATGAACAAAGCATCCTTTGAACGTTGCTTTCGTGGTAGATCGTTGTATTCATATTTTCAAGTTTCTGTGGTTGGTGGAGTATGATTAGTTAGGGCTGTTTTGATATCAAAGTTTTGACTAAAGCTGTCAGTCCTTTCAGGACAATGTTCAACATAGACTTTTTCCTGTTTTCTTTTTTTGATTTTCGTATGAAAGCCGTGTTTCAAATAGATTTTTGTCATATAGATAGATACTCGATATCATTATAAAACATTTAATAAAAAACACCAAACCATCACCCATTGGATTCCAAAATGCACAGAGCTTGCGAAGCACACAACTACACACCCTTTAAATACGCCCGTAACTAAAATTTAATGTTGAAGGTAAGTGATGAAAAACAACTTTAAACCCAGTAATAATAAATATTTGAAAAATAGTGTTTAGTTGAAATCACTGTCCAATAGAATTATGAATAATCCAACATGAAACTTGTGTTTCATTTAATATCTGACAGCTCAATTTACATAGGCCCGTGGATAAATACGTCTGGATTCTTGCATAGTATCAGTAAGATGTGATTAACACGAACGTAAGGTAAAATATTATGTGCTAGCGAAATATTGTTATTAAGCTTGAGGAAATATTAATACTTCCAGCTTTCCTTGCATTTACAGGAATGACATCCATCTGTTTGTATGCTTTTTCAGACATATCACCGAAATACTTCTTATATGGTAAATTGCTCACACTCTATACAGGAAGCTTTCCAAGTTATTTGACAAGGAACGTTTTATGTTCCTTGCTTCGTCTATAAAAAGATTGTTGGCAGTGTCCTTCATCACATCGTAAAAATTCGTCTAGTTGACATCTATACGAAGTTTGATGCTTTCTCACTTTCTTAAGTATCTGTATTTTGGCATATTTTGTAACAAATTGACAGGACTAGTATGTTTTGTTTCGAAATAAACCGTTTAAAACCCCACTTTTAAATGGACACTTTTTTTCGTTCCCCAATGTATACATATCCCATAGGATAATTATGTTCTACGGAACGGAACAGAACGAGACATTTATTTTTGTTAATCATCCTGGTACATTACAGATACATTTAAGGAACTCCACTGAGGTTTATAACCCTAAAACATAACATTTTAATTTTTCACATAGATAAACATGAGCACTTTAAACAGAAGTATTGATAAAATATAACTAAGAACTATACAAGAAATACATTGAAAGTCATATGTTTGTGCTATTCTCAGTCCGATTTGAACGCTTTTCAATTTTAGATCTTTTTTCACTATAATAATAATTATTCTGGAAAAACGGAGCGAGCTAATGATCTGAAATTTTGCACATAAGTTATTAGTATAGATCTACATCAAATGGAGTAGTAATCTCAAAAAATTATTTTCTGTCCCGTAATGTCAAAAAACCTCAGTGGAGTCCCTTTAATTTATTACATGCAACCAGTCTTGACTTATTCATTATAGTCAATCATATCGCCATAAAATTTATATTATTAAATGTTTCGCACTTGTTGTTTGTAGTAATTTAATCTTAATTATTCATAAAAACTGACAAATGAAAAAAAAAATATGTGGACAATCTTTTTTTTGCCATAATTATCGTAAATAAAATTAAATTATAACATATTTGCAAAGTACAATTTGAAAAAAAAAAAACATGTACTTATAAAGTTAAAATAACACTATTATAGTCTGCGTTGATTACAAACTATGTTTTCAACTCTATTTATTACATTTAAAAAGACATTTTTTGAGTAAACGGATCTTTAATAACAAAATAAATCTTGTTCCGCTTAATTATATTATCCGGCGACATTCATATTTTGCGGAACGAAACGGTATCAATATAAAAAGAGTTGTACTAAAACAAATGTCAAGTGGCACTGGAATATGAAAGATTACTTATCCATTGCATTAATATTCTTTATTCTTCAAGCCACTGGACACAGCAGTTTGATCCCTCTAGAAATCCTTAGAATGGATAAGCATTCGATAGAATTCTACCAACGAGCATTAAGTGAGGGCACAGAAGCTGTTTACAATAATCGAGTAATGGTTGTCGGCCATTACGGTGTTGGCAAGACAACGCTAAGAATGCGTCTGTTAGATGTTGATATTAACAAGCGAGAGAGATGTAAAGTGTCCCGGGAAACTGGTCAATGGGAAACAGTAGCCAAAGGTGAATATACCAATATGCATTTGAAATATCTGAATGAGTGATTTGTAGATTTGTTCATTAGCTGTATCTCTGCAGTTAATTGAATTCACTATACCCTGTCTTGTGAGCTGATACGATTCAATGTGCACAATGACTCGCGATTACAACCACGTGTAACTTCTGTTTGTTGCACTTCCATAAAAATCATTAAAACTACCTCACTGTGCTTGTTTTTGGGCACATATATTTATTTTATTGTTTACTTATCTCGCAATAACATAATGTAGAGATGTTTAAACTGGCAGTGTATCTCGCAATAACATAATGTAGAGATGTTTAAACTGGTAGTGTAACATATGCTTTTCATGGTCCTATTTGTTAGTTTTGTTTCAGTTATAGAACTCTTCAATTTAATTAATCAATTTTCATTTCTTTAGTCACTAATAATACTTCAATGCCAAACGGAAAACGTATTTTTTATGTTTCTTCCTTATCGGTAAATAATCAATTTCTGCACGCATTACACTTTTTAACATTTTTCTAGGTGATGACGATGAAGAGATAGATCCTTTTCTCTGTTCGGGGAAAGTAAAACACATTAAAACATTAATTGAATCAGGCAGGCTGCCAAGACAAAGAATACTTGATGAGATGTGTCAGATTTTTGGGAGGAAATCCAAAGCGATTATCGTCACATGCAAGGCAATTTGTGAATATATCAAATCAAAACATGTCGCTATTGCATATGTTTGGGCTGCGTATACAATTGAAAACCCGCAAAGAATAACTTTTGTAATAACTGTGAAGCACAAATCAGAAGGTAACAAAAGTAAAGAGTCTGTACGTTTAGAGAAATTGATCCAATATTCATTTGTCAAACAATACGCTGACGATTTTAGCTTAGAAGGCTCTGAGGTAATTAAGCAACAGGCTTCACGTGCTGCGAAATTAAATGAAGAATCCTATGAAAATCTTCAGACCTGCATTTCAAAACACTCTGAAGATTTGATGAAGAAGCACAAGTATCTGTCGATTATATCTGCATGTCCAAATAGATCAAGAGGATTTGGCGCTTCCTGGAATTTGCTGCCTGAAAATTGTATTGTCCTTTACGTCCAGAAAAAGAATTACATTCCAATTGATGAAGAACCATTTAAAACAAATTATGACAGTATTCCAGTTGATGTTAGAGAAGGTGCCTTTATTCCATTCGGACGTACTGCCAAAGACCTGCTTGATCCTGTTAAAATGGGAAGTCAAATAGGTGGAGATATTCTTGAAGGAACTCTTGGGTTTTTCATAGATCATCCTCAATTTGGAATCTGTGGACTGACATGTGCACATGTTCTTTTAACACGTTGGGAGATGACTCAACTGAAAATAAATCATAGCGGTACGTTGAAATGGCCATTACATAGAATGTGCAAAAATGTATATCAGCCTGCTGACAAACGATCTGTATTAGGACACACTGTTCAAGTTATTTACAAAAAAGGTTCAGACGAAAATTATGGAATGGATGTAGCTTTGTTCAAAATCACGGACAGGCATCCCAAATCTCCAAGTTTTCCCGATGAGACAGGTAATATCAGTTGTCCATGTACGTTCCTGTCTGTAATTATTGTTTCTTAAAATAATTTGAAAAGTTTTATTGACCAATATTTATATTTCTATACCATAAATCTGTTGAATACACGCCTTCATATAGCATCTTTGTCTCTATGTTTTGGATTGAAATCAACTTCAAGTTTTGACGTTGGCGGTAACACCGTCAATGAACAATTTGAATTGAGCCTGCAGCTTTTTCAATTTTGTCGGGTTTTTTGTCTTCTTTATGATTCCGTTATTGTCCATTGTAAGACAATAAAACATCTAATTTTAACTACTTTTCTACGTTTGCATGATTGAAATTTGCTCACTTCTTTTTGTGACTGAAATCAAAAAATGAAATGTAAAATGCAAATTATTTGTATATTACGTGAAATATGTGTTAATATGTGTTAATTATTATTTGATGAAATATATGACCTCAAATTATTATTCAAAGATGTACCAGTTCGATTTATTATTCACTGTTAACTAATTAACACATTTATTATATACTTACCATCAAATTGTTGTTGGCTTCTTTTCACAGGATCAAATGTTGCTACAAGTATTAAATACGACAGTTGGCGGATGTGTAGCATCGACAGACTGAATAAGAAGGAGGATAATCATGTCATAAAATTTGGATCAAAAACCGAATTACGTCATGGAATAATAAAATTTGATACTACCTCAGTAAAATCGTTGGATGCATCCCCACTTGTTCATGGATATGCCCCGATACAACTGTTTAAGCAAATTGAAGTTAAAGCTCGTGAAAATGGCATTCCTTTTGCTGAAAATGGCGATTCAGGTGCGCCTGTGTTCGTTGTTGAGAAAAATTCACAAAATAAATGTATAGGGATTGTAGAGGGAGGTACATCATACGGGACAGTAGTCGTCACACCTATCGTCCCTATTTTAGCAGAGCTTGATGTACCTTGCTTAAAAAGTTTTGACACTGAAAGAGAATTTTCAAATTTCCAAAATAAAATAGAAAATTTAGAAACACGTGTACAAACATTTGGTAGTGACATTCACAGCATAACCAATAATATGCAAACCGTTAACCATGAAATTCAGAATATTAATAGAAGTTTGCAGGCTGTTGATTTACCAAACATGAGCGGCGATATTCAGATGATGAAACAACTTCTGTTGAATCTTACTCAAAAATTTAACTCATCATCGGCAAACTCGCAAAATGATCAACATGGTCAAAATTGAATTATAAGGATAATGAAAAAAAAAAACAATAAAAAACAAAGCATCGTTAAGGAGATGAAAGCATAAGTGTTTAAAAATCGATTTAAGAATCGTATTTGTCAAAGATAAAGTTGGAAAATGCTTAATAGGTTCAAAGTTTGCTTAAAGAAATCGCAATCACTTAGATTTCGTTTCTCGTCATTTCCGAGATCTTTATTTTGATAAGGATTATGAGACATTCTAAATTGGAATTGACTTTCTAAAACATTTGTGTTTTCCTTAAGATTGTTTCACATTAAATTGTTGTCTCAGTGAAAACAAGCTATTTATATTCTCGATATAGCAAAATTTGTACCTGTTTTTTTATAGTTCACAATTTTCAAAAAATATATAAATTATAGAAAACATCATCCATTACGTCTCACTTTAAGCTCACCTAAGATGACCGGATATTTCCGTCACATTTCGGCTTTATAAATTTATTTTTATATTTTATAATGTGATCGAGATATTTTTCACTTATTTCTCTTCTCAGAAATATTATCAAAGTCGCCATGCTCATGCAAAATATGAGTCTTCTTTCAATTCTGAAATAACTTTTTTTTTTAATTTTACTTTGGTTAAAAAAGAAAAAATGAGTAGAAATAAATGATATACTAAATCCAGTTTTCAGGTGATACATTGTTCAACTTTTTAAGTGCCCATATTTTATGAGATGGTAATTTTTTTTTACGAATAAGTATTGTTGTACTTTATTTTAATGATGCTGTCATAGCTGACCTCTTGAATTTTACTGTTATAAATTAAATATATAGTGTCCATTGTATGTTATGGAAATTGATTGTATATAGAATGTGTATACAAATTTTGATAAAAGATGTGGTTTTATTTATGTGATAATGTCATTGTGTATGCACTGTCTAATTTCTAAAAGTTGAAGTCTAATCATTATTTACTATATCCGTTATATAAATATATGATATATGTGAGAAACGCTGACTACAACGATTAAATTGAAACCTTTCTAATTTATATTATACAATTTATGCTTAATACTCAGACATTTAATAGTTGTTTACTAAGCGGATTTAATGTGTTCTTCTAAAAGACGTATGGAACAGTGACGTACATACATCACGGGGGAGAATCACTCCGTTCGTTACCCAAACAAACAAGATGGCGGATGCAGCCGAAAAGTAAGTTTTTCCCTTTTTCCTCTGAAATTCGTAATGTTCTAGTGTAAAGGTACATATATCAACCTTATCCACAATTTTCCGGGCACAAAGGATTTTATTTCATGATGTTATGTCCCGTTCTTCATCTGAAATGCGCGTCATCAGAATCGAAGCGAGAGAATTTTCCATCGGTTTGATCATGGTAACGTACGGCATCTTCTCTAAAATTCAATGTTTCGTTGATATATGTATATTTACTGAAACCACTGAATTTAAAAGTTGAAATATGTCGTCATCTAAGCATTCATGCCCATTCTTACTAGAATAACCGCTGTTAATGTTCATATCAGGGCATTTCCTGGAAATGATAACGTATGGCGCACAAATATCAATGATTAAGTACGGCGCGTTCTTCGGCTTAATGGATTTACCTTATATATCAGTTATTTTTGGATAGAAAAGTAATGTTTCTTGGTCAGGTCTTTCCAGACATAAGATCGTGGATATGTAGAACTAAATAAAGAAAATGAATATTATTTAGTGTTTGCATAATAATATCTGTCCGGATAGAAATATCTAAATCCGATATGTAATCACGATTGATATGTTTTCTTGCATATCATACACGAAATAAAGTAGATATCCAACTTTTTGTGGTTTGTAAAGTGTCATCAAAAGTTATACTTGAACCCAAGTTTCAAATATATTTGTATAGATAAGTGTTCATCCATGCTGTTCTATCGAAATCAGAAACATGGACTGAGGCGATAGCGATCGGAGAATGTTTTTTTATTTCTGTAGAACAGCTACTAACATATATATAGTGCTTCATAGAACCGCGTTTGTAAAAAATAGTCATTAATTTTGCATAAATTTTGTACATGCGCTTTCGTGGGCCGCTTTTGAATATGAATTAAGGAAATATGACGTCAAAAGGCCAACCTATATTAATTTTGTATTTATGGATAAAAGATATACATGCAGTTCAGATTTAAATCCTGGCGAAAAAGATACTGCTCCTGTTAAAGTAAAAACCAAGACAAAATGGCAATTAGTATATTTTTATTACTTGTGTTGGAAAAAAAATATAGTAAAACAGAATCCCTAAAGAAAGCCCAACACGACAAAATTGAAAATGTTGTAGGCTCGGTTTGATTGAGCCTGTTCATGGACGGTACTGGAAAATGCAAGTTACCCCTAGCACCGGCTTAAGCAGAATTCAGCATTTAACACTTTTGAATTTAGAATTATCCGCAGATGTGTTCATACGGCGGTTATCATGGAACCTTCAATGTGACACAGTAGTGCCATTCCATGAAAAGCGGCGTATGGTCCCCTAGTAACAGAATGCTTTTGTCCTAAACGAGAAAACAATAGGCGGAACTAAATAAAATGGAATTTTGAAAGGGATCTTAGGTTATGAAGCCTGCATATCACATATAAGACGTCAAAAGACAAATTTAAAAAGCAGGCAACATATCCTAAGGATGATTATACAGTATTCAAGTAGGAATACTGGAACCACCAAAGTTGAAAAAGGCCAAATAGAAGAAACAAAAAGTACCACATTACATGTATACACGACAACAATGTCGTGCTGAACAATCTTCAAGGATCGAAAATATAACATCATTGATTAAATGTAAGGGGAGACTTTCCACAGCCGCCTAACGGCACGAATAACACGGAGTCTTAAGTTTCTAATTTCTGTAGAACAGCATGGATGAACACTTACATATGCTTCGTAAATACTATTTTCATAGAAACGTAGTAATTTTTATAAACATTCTTTCATTAAGATAATGACGTCATCTGAGCGCATGAGCTGTCTGGCACTAAAGGTTTCAGGCGGGTTTTCCGGCATGGATAAAAACATCGAAATCCAAATCCGATTTGAAACTTTATATTTCGTAGTCGGTAAATGTTTACCACTAGAAATTAATAAGCAAATTTCAATGTCACTCTTTTATTGCCGAGTTTTTTTTAAAGAAATAGACTGTTTTTGTTGGGGCATTTGTGGAAAAAAACGCCAGAAAATGATAGGCAAATCTAAGAATTGCATGTCACTGTTTTGATCAAATTATGGCGTTCCTTTCATTAACATAAAAAACAAACTGTAGGGCTAGGTCGTGCAAATATCTGGCGTCAAAGTGGCGTTTCAATATTAACCGCCCCTCAAATAAATAGCAAATTTCTTGTTACTAAATTCATTGAACTTTTTCGTATAACATTATTTTTAACAAATTCAGTAAATTCAATATAGAACCTATACTCATTCATTATTCTCTGTTATTTTTTTTCTTTCAATGAGCGACCACATTGAATTAACACAGACTCATTTCATCTGGATGTAAGTTAGTCGCAATAAGTTTAAATAGAATATGAAGACAACAATACCCAAATATGTCCTGAAAGTGGAGGCTTTTTTATTCTGCATTATATACAAAACATTCGCAAACTATACATGTGTGTTTTAATTGGTAGATAAAGGTTGGAATATGTATATTCACAACGAATATATATGGGGTAGCATTGTTCAATTATTTATTTCTGAAGTGATAAATATTTTTTTGAGATATCTTTTATTTCCTACATACAAATAATTCATTATCAGCTGACTGGACAAATGAAAATCCACAAGTTGAAAAATGCGCCGTACGTTATCATTAATATTCAGTACGCCATACGTTATCATTTCAGGAAAATGCCCCGATATTAATATCTACAGCAGTAAATCTAGCCATAATGGACATGGATGCTTAGATAACGACCAAGTACAACTTTTTAATTCAGTGGTTTCAGTTAATATACATATTTGTAAACGAAACAGTAATTTTGAGAGAAGAAGCCGTACGTTATCACGATCAAACCGGTGGGAAATTCTCTCGCTTCGATTCTAGTGACGCGCATTTCAAAAGAAGTACGGGACGAAACATCATGAAATAAAATCCTGTGTGCCCGGAAAATTGTGGAGAAGGTTATTATATATATCTTTAACATTACGAATTTCAGAGAAGAAAGAGAAAAAAAAAAAATTTTTGGCTGCATCCACAATCATGTTTGTGTGGGCTACGAACGGCGTGATTCTCCCCCTTGATGCATATGGCAGTTGATAACTAATATTTTCTAACACAACCCTAGATGGGAAACTTTAAAGTTTTCTTTCGTTCTAATCCCTTTCAATTTTATTTAACAACTATATTCATATAAAGTGTAATATATGTTAAATATTGAAATGAATATGTTTAAACTAACACAACCTTCGTTTTTCCCCTATTGAACATAGGACCGAAAGTGTCTGTAAATACGACGATATGATATTTTTTTAGCAAGTAAAAATGCGACACGCTGAAAATAATAACGAATTCAAAATAAATGCGACACCATACAGCTTGTTATCAGATACGAAAACATTTACTTGTTGTTGTCGAGTTAGAATTGGAATAATATATCCCAAGTAGTGAATTTATCACTTAACAAAAATCACTTTTTGTCGTTCGGACGAGCAGAATTTTGTCACTCGGGTCACGTCCTTTTAAATTATTCCCTCGCGTGCCAATTCCAAACAGTTATTATATGATCAAAGCACTGTTGGTGATATTTTATTTCTGAAATATAATAAATATCTTAAAATATGTAAATGGGGACACCGGCCTTGTTTTCGAGTAGCCCTCTTCTCATTTCTTTTTTTCTATTTTGAATTTTTATTTTTTATTTTTTTATAGTTTTTATTATCTGATTTAACTTAAAAGAAAATTACTAATACAGATATCTGTTGCACCTTATGTTTTCAATTTTCATCTTCGATTATTAAAAAACCATGGATTTTATTTAAGCAATTGTTCATTTAATTCATTATAGATATGGATATTGAACATTCTTTCAGAAAAATGACATTTTTATGAAAATGTACATACGTTTGAGTAAAGTTGACGAAAAAATAAACTACTTATGAATAATTCTTGTAATTTTACACACTCATTCAAAGTGACTTTAGATATATTAAAAGCAGAAAATGTATGGTCATCTTAATCGAAGTTGTGAAATTGCCTGCGCTTGAACAATTTTAAATTAAAGGACAGATAACTCAAAAATGAGGTCGGTGTTTCCAAATGTAAGATTGTCACATATTAAATGACACTTGATCGCGCATTT